CCAGTGAAGCGAAATCCTCCACAACTAGACTGAAGAACAAGAGGACAGCAACTTGTCTGTTCCCCTTCCCCAATTCTCCAATAAAATCTTTAAAAAAAAAAAAAAGAAAGAAAAGAAAAGAACACAGAAAAATGAGAAGAGGGCACAGGGTTGTGCCTTTAGATCTTCAACATTTAAAGACAAGATAAAGCACTTCATTAGTTATATAAATACCTAATCACTATGTTGTACACCTGAAACTAATAGATTGTATGTCAACTATAATTGAAAAAAAAATTTTTAATTAAAAAAAGTAAAGACAAGATAAAGGAAAACTGAGAACAGCCAGAGAAAAATAATGAAAAGTGAAAGACAGTGCTATGAGAGAAGCTAAGGAAAGAGAATGTTCCAAGAAAGAGAGAGCAATGAACTCTTCAAAATCTGATGATAGGCAAAATGCCTGAAAAAAAATGTCCAGTGGATTTATCAACAGGAGGTGGTGACCACATCAAATTTTCAAAAGAAATCATGATTTACAACTTGAATTTATTTTCAGGCTTAGAGATGGTCATCAGAAAAACCATATGCTAATTATATAAAATTAAGAGTAAATATAATTTATTTTTTACCAGTATCATGCTGGTAAAGAATATTTAAGGTGTACACATTCTCTTAAGAGTTTAATTACATAGCTATCTTAATTGAAGTAATTTTTTACATAGTCATCAAAAAGGCTATAACTAAAATTATCAGTTTGTATCTTTGAGCACTATCAATATAAACAAAACCTATACAATTCAAAACATTCACACCTTCATTTTCATATCCTTATAAACTTAGTTTGCTAACCTGTGTCCTGTTAAACTCTCCCAAAAAGTGATGGTTCCATCAGTTCCACAAGTCATCACCCATGCATGAGGTACTCCTTTTGCCTTAGTCCCAACACAGACAAAGGCTTCTAATCCATATCCAAGAAGAAGGCTGCATAGAAGGTTAGCGTGATCTTCACAGTCACCCTAGAAAATACAGTGAATTAAAATTAAGTATTTGTTCGTTCATATTGTTTCCCCCTTAAATATTTAAATACAAAATGACAATTAAGAAGTATTATTAAATATTTTAATCATTAGTCAATTGTTAAGATGAAACAACATGGAGAAAAGAATTTAGAAGAGCCTAACTTATTTTACGAAGTCAGTGGTCAAAAATATAATGGTCGTAACATGTACACTTTAAGAGGGAACATTCAGATTCAAAATTTTATAAAGAGCTCATACAACAAAAAGAAAAGTAGGGACGACCGGATGGCTCAGTTGGTAAGAGAGCGAGCTCTGAACAACAGGGCTGCCGGTTCAATTCCCACATGGGCCAGTAAGCTGTGCCAGTAAGCTGCGCCCTCTACAGCTAAGATTGTGAATAACGGCTTGACCTGGAGGTGGGCTGCCGTGAGCTACCGTGAGCCGTGGTCGGTAGCAGGCATGAGTGGACAGCAGTGTGAGTGGCCAGCAGACAGCATGAGCAGCCGGCAGGCGGCAAGAGCAGCTGTGAGCCACTCAGGAGACCAATGGGCAGCAACCAACTGCCTCAGCCGGGTAGAGCACAATGATCATAACACCAACATGGGCCAGTGAACAGCATCCTCCACAACTAGACTGAGAACAAAGGCTGTGAGGAGGGTGGGGGGGGGAAGCAGTAAGATTTTTAAAATGAATAGCTAATGAACATGAACAGATAGGCTGAAAAATCAAAAAGCAAGCAATGCAAATAAAGGGGGAAATACTCAAAACATTCAAACAATGACACTAAAACAATGACTTTAAGTATAATATATAATCATTTTAAGGAAATAAATACATAGGAAAAGTGCCTGGGTGGAATAAAACAAAACGCCAACAATGGATTTAATTAGAGTGGTTATAATTTTCCCCTCTATTTTCTAAATTCTCTTTGATAATATTACTTCCAGTATTTAAAAAAATAATTAAAATAGAAAATATCTGATAATATGTCCCATAAAAACATATTAAAATATTAAACAGTAAGGCTACAATTACATGAAGATACGTATTTAAACACAGGACTACAGGTAATATGCAAAAGTAAAAGTAACTACTGAGTTCGGTGTTAGAATGGATGATTTCTTTCCCAAAAAGTTTTACATTAGTGGCTCTACAATGTTGTTCTTTAATGAACTGCAATAAAACAACTAGCATTTTATAATCATCAAATTGATTTTGGAAAAATCTAATATCCAACCTTTTAGGCCCAATTAATTTCTATAGAGATTTTATTTTTTAAATATTTTCAAAATACCCCAACAATACAACCAAAGATATTCAATGCAAAAATTCATTTTCAATGACATCAAAAAACTGGAAGCAAGCGTAACTTAAAAAAAAACAAAAACAGTTCCTACAATGAGGAAATAGGTAAGTAGATTTTGTATATCAATTCAAGAAAACTCGGGGCCGGCCGGGTAGCTCAGTTGGTTAGAGCACGAGCTCTGAGCAACAGGGCTGCCAGTCGATTCCCACATGGGCCAGTGAGTTGTGCTCAAGCTGAGCTGCCGCTGAGCTGCCGATGGGCAGCCAGATGGTTAGAGCGTGTGCTCTTAACAAGGTTGCCAGTTCAACTCCCACATGGGATGGTGTGCTGCGCACCCCCGCAACTAGATTGAAAACGGCAACTGGA